TTTTAAATGAGATAAAATGATAAATTTTTGTTGAAGTTGTTGGAAACTGTTAATTATTTTCATGTGTTTTTATAACAGATACCTTGCTTGGTCTTAAGCACCTTGCAAAGCACTTCATTTGGGAATTTTAGTAACGCAAACAGGATTACGTCAGGTTTTTAGCTTTTTTTAAAAACACATTTGTGTCGCATATTCTAGCTCAGAGTTTTAAAGACATGAATCTTTCATCTCTGCTGTTTAGTGCAAAATAGGATCCAGCAGTCTGGGATCCCATCAGCACATTTCAAGAGACTGTTCTGCACAGATTTGGTCCAACAGGTCCAGAGGCTTTGTAGAAGTACAATATCAATCGGCTGCAGTGTCCCTTTAAAGACAAGCTAAAGCAAGGCAGCTGTTTCTGTGAGATCTCTTAGTGACCTCCACACAAAGTAACCTCACAGAATTTTGAGGTTTTGCTGCCCCCTAGAGGTTATGCATCTAAATATGAAAAAAGGAAACTATAAAGATTACTGTATAGTGGTATAAAGGCAACAATTTGCATTTATTTAAGTGAGTTACATATCTTTACATAGCAGTCCCAAAGTCAAATGATATAAATACAATTTCTTGTTGGGCCCCTATGGCCCCCATTATACACAGATCCGTCACAACAGTAACAAATGCCTGCCTAATACTTATTAGTTCCATCTTATGCTTTCAAAACATCTCCAGTCCCTCAGGGCTTGGACACAGGACCTCTGAGGACGGGATGCTGAAGGTAAAACCTTTAGGTTCTGTTGGCTGTGCGGCTGGAGAATCAGTGTATCAGATCTGTTTTATCAGAGCATTCTACAGATGCTCAGTCAGATTGGGATCCACATAGTTTGGCGAAAAGAGCACATATTTATGCTGAAAAATGCCAGTGTTAGCAAGGTATCACAACGCCAGTTGAGCCAATGACATCAGTAGGTTCAAATGGGACAGGCTACTGAAAGAAATTCTCTAATGATTATCAGAAACAATCCATGGAGTCTGTCCATTTCTAAATTTCCACAGAAATTAAGAGCTGAAAATTGTATTACGCTTGGATAACCCCTCTTGAAATGTCCAAACAACATTTATAAAAACAAGTGGTAAATTACACTAACTTCTTTTAGCCACAATACATAATGATTGGTTCTCAAACCTGTCAAAATGTGGGCCAGTTCTCCAAAGATATCAACACAAGAACTGCTTCTGCATCAGCACTGGCACCACAATGGTCCAATAAATATAATTTCAGCTGGTTTCGAGGAATCTGCTTTATGCAGTAGAACCTGGGGAAGAAGAA